TTTATTTAGTCACTTGAGGAAAAAAAAAAAAAAAAAAAGATAGATATCCTTTTTATCTGCTGCTGAAAGATAGAAGCAAAGCTCGCCTGCTCTTGCAGCTCGGTCTCCTCGGCGTGGAGCAAATCTTGCCCCTGATGCCCATCACCAAGTCATGTTTCTGGGCAGGTGGATATGCTGTGGGTGAGAGAATCCACCTGCAGACACGTTGCTGCTCTTTGGCTCCCAGCAAAGCTGCCCCTAAAAATACTGGTCCATAACGAAACCAGCCCTGCAGCCCGTGGGGACCCCGCTGTGCCGGCTGCACCCCGGCTTAGCCCCGTTGTCACAGTGCCATGGCCAAATACCGACCAGATTAGGGAGCCTGGCTCGGGAGAAAAGCAAGGCAAAGCAAAACCCAGGCATCCCTGCCTCCGCCTGCCCTGCACCCCCCTTCTGAAGCTGGAGACAAGCGCGGTTGCCAGCGAGAGCAGGAAAACGCTGAGCCTCTGCGGAGCCACGGCTTTGTGTTCCCTTCTATGGCGCGAGCGGACGCGGCGTTGCAAGCAGCCCAGGCAGCGGGGCGAGGAGGCACCGGGCGGGCGGGAGTCACAGGGTTTGTTCTTATTGCCGACACGGTTTGCTCTGCAAACGTGGGGTGTCCTGGGATGCTGCTGCAAAGGGTCCCCAGGGTCTCCAGCCTGCCCCCAGCACCCACTTTGTGCTATTCAATCTACCCAGTATCCCCTGCTGGGTTTCAGAGCCCAGTGCGGGGTGGATGGATGAGACGGTCAGGGGGGGCAAGCCTGGGGGCATCATGGGAATTTCAGAAGACCCTCGCCAGGTTTTACTGGAACAAAGCAAAGGCTGTGCAGGGGAACTGTCCTGGCATGGTGGGGTCACAGAGCCCCCAAGGATTTTGGGTGGTCTGAGCCTTGCTAGGAGTGGGATGCTGGTACCTCCTCCAGGAATGACCCCCAAACTTCACCTGCTCAAACCAAACCACCCCCTCTGCATGTGTCCTGCTCGCTGGCGAAGGTGATGCCCAAGGACAGAGAGCCAGAGCTGGTCACCCCTGGTCACCCCCATAGCATGGGCAATGTCCCCAGCACAGATCCATGGCACTTTCAGCTCTCCCCCATGCCCCAAACCCAGTGGGATGCGGCCTCAGAACCCCTTGGCCACTCAAGTATGATTTGAGACAATTACACTGAACTCAGAACTGGCTAAAGGGAGCAGAGGTATGCCAGCATCAGCAGACAAATCTAAATACCTGCCCCGAGGCTGCCAGCCAGCTGCCAGCTAGGCACCCTTCCTACCTCTAGGAACAATTAAAATAGTGTCTGGAGCTAATTTTACTCCTGAGCACTCAATTGTCCTTTGGGATGAGAGCTCCACTGCCAAAGGCAGAGTGAAAAGCAAAACGTGGCTGAAAACTAACTGAAATATAGAGGCACCTTCCACTGCCACTTTCAGAGCAGCACTTGGCACCCGCGTCTCTGGTGTCGCCCAGTGATTTTTGGAAAGTGGCAAGATGCTCCCGGTATCCACTGTGTGTGAAAGGAGCGAGTTGGGAGTTACTCCAGCTGGAACAGCTTTGGCCCGGGGAAGAAGCAGCCTGAAACATCCAGCAGGTGCAGGTCATGGCCAGCGCCGCTTGTCCTGTGAGGTCTCAGCACGGAAACCTCTGGCTTCAGCTTTGAGGAGGCTCATGCCAAAAAAAATACCTTCTAGCTTTAAAAAAATCAAAAGCATCCACGTTCTTAGAACTAAATATTTCTAATGGTCTGGAGCAAAACTGTTTATGGATGGATTAATCAGGATTTCCAGCAGAACTCGAGGCACCTTGAGAGGTGCCAGCGCAGGGGGGCACCTGCACAGAGGCAGCCAGCACGGTGCAGGCAGCTGGGTCAGCTGCAGACTCTGCTACAGCTTTTAGCGTGAGGTGGAGTTTCATATTGTATTTTTCTTCCTCTTTTCCTGTTTTACAAGTATGTTAAGCAATTAAACCATGCAATGTTACCCTCAGCAAACAAAATCACAGAGGCAGGAAACGAGCTTTTAAATCCCGACTCTGCTCCTAGGGACGAGGTTTTGCCTTGTGACTGGAGAGAAGGGGGCCAGGATTTGGCCCATGACCCTAAAACGTCCCCGGGACCTGCAGCAGATGCTCAGCACTGCCGGAGCAGGTTTGTAGGACCTGCCTTTGACTGTGCTGCTATTTTTCCTCCGGCAACGGTTGTGTTACAAGATGGCTATCACCTCTCGTACAGCCAGATCTGTGCCGCAGGCCGTACGCAACCCCTTCACGCCGTTGACAGCCTTGAGTTTTGCGTCCTGACCTTTCCTTGGCTCCTGCTGCTACATATAGTTCCTATATCTCCAAAATAAATACACCCCAGCCCTGGAAGGCAGCCAAGCCTCAGCCCTGATCTCTCGGGAAGGCGTCCTGGCCTCTCTCATGCCGGGAGCATGGCTGAACGGCGAGTGGTGAGGGCAAGTGGCCGAGCATGGGTGGATGGAGCTGGGAGGGGAAGGGACCCCCAAGGACGGTGCCCGCAGCTCAGGGTCAGGCTCTGGCCGTGGCACCTGTGCCAATGCCTCCTTATCGCCCTGCTGCCTGCAGACCGGTGATGAAGGACGAGGCTGCCAAGCTGCCTCCCCCGGGGCATGCAGCGGTGCCTGGTATGCCATCCACCCACCGGACCCAGCCTGGCACAGACTGCCCAAGGTCACCTCCAACCTGGGACCAGCCCCAGAAGCCTCCGCAGCCCCCAGCCCTATGACATGCATCCCAGGTCTACCTGGGCTCACCCCTGGGGTTTGAGGGCTCCCCCATCCCCAAACAACTCCAAAGGACCAGCTCTGCAAGTCCATCCATCAGCAGCAGGATGGTGGAGGTTTCCACCCTGCTTTTCGGTACCCTGGACACGAGAACGTGGGCAGGAGCGGCTCGATGCCTGCCCTTACCCCTCTTTGCCATAAAGGGGATTTTTGGTGCTGCTTTCGAGTTTAGCTTGCAACTTAGTCACAGCAGCAGGGCTGTTTTTATGGGGCGCAAACCACAGCGAGCAGCACCACGAGGCTGAGCAGAAGAGCTTGAGAGCGGGCAAATGCAGGAAGGGAGGCGTCCGCGGGCAAGTGACTCTGACTTAAATTTCCTCATTTGGGTAAACGTGTGGCTCTCAACACCTGGGGCCTCAGGGCTGCTGTTTCTCCCTGTCCCATGTCCCTTCTTGTGAGCTCTGAGAGTCACAAACCAGCCCAGAAGTGCCTGATGTTATGACATAGAGAAGAGCAGGGTTCTTTTTTCCCTGATACGGAGAAGCAGCCAAGCCTGCAAGTGCTGTAAATAAAGGCACTTGCTGGCTCCCCAGCTGAGCAAGCTCCGTGCCTGCTCCCCCCACACATCCCAGCAGCCGGTCGTGCTTTGGCCGCATGGTCACAGGCAGCCGAGCTCGAGCTCTCGCAGCTGCCTCTGCGAAGGGCCACCCTTGCAGGGGGGTACGCTGGCACTGCGGGGCCTTTCTGACTTTCCTCCTGCCCCTGCCGCCCTCCGGTGACCACAGCCCACCGACACCAGTACCCGCAGCCCACTGACGACACCAGTACCCCCAGCCCACCGTACCCACAGCCCGATGACACCAGTACTCGCAGCCCACCGACTTCACAAACAACTCCTGAGGCTGATGGCAGGGTGCTAGGGCAGCATGAGCACATCAAAAAGTAATAATAATTAGCAGCAGATAATTTCTGGACCTTAACTCGCAGAAGAACTCTTCAGCACTGAGAAAAGTACCGAGATCTGCTGGGGACTCAGAGTATTCCCAGCAGAAGTGTTGCCTTTGGCACAAGGTGGAACCCAGCACAAGGAGGAGACACAACTTTTGGGACAAAGCGAGGATGCTGTTGGAGGATGGCAGAGGTCTAGCTGGGGGATCCCACCCCTGTCCTATATGGGACCAGCATTTCCAACAGGCATTGTCACCCCAGATGCTGCACCCCCTTTAGTATGGGCTTCCCCGTGACTTGGGGGGTGAGCCCGGAGGGG